TGGTAGATAAATATTTTATTTTATTTAAAAACATTTTTTTTAAATAAAAATGGAAATGTTAGTTGTCAAAATATATAATGACAATATGGTTTAGAATAAAGTTGGCTGGTTAAAAGTACATCGACACTCGTGGGAAAAACAATTACTTTCCGAACGACCCAACGATAAAGATTCCGCAGATTGCGCATTCCCTACCTTCTCTGTGGAGAACTATGTACAGATTTCTCACCCGAATATGCTTTATCTTTATCTTTATCTTACTAGATATGAAATAAGAATAAAATGAGTGCACTCGGTGCACTTAGGTGGAGAATCCGAACAGTCCAGAGAAATAATAATCAAAAGCAAGACAAAGATGGATGCCTTCATTCATGTCTATCCTTGTGATGTGTGGTGATTGACGGATAAGAAAGTCACAGAAATATAAGAAGTGCGCGTGTGAGAGGGGAAGTGAGTCAAAGCGCAGAGCGAGACAGATGCTTTCACTTGTGTCTCTGTCTCTAATTGTCTGAGGATCATCATGCACTAGTACTTTACAGGACGTTAATCGACTTCTGTCATTGTCGCTCCTTTGTGGTCAGATTTTAGAAAAATCGACGCAAGTTTGCAACGAAATCGTTCGATAAAGTTAAAGCGTTTGCTTCAAATAAAATAAAATAAAAAATAAAATAACAGAAGAAGTGCCTTCTTTAAATAAATCGTCGGTAAAGTGATGGACTTTGCGAGAAGAAAGATTAACGAGCGCACGGGGTGTTCGATTCGATACGTCGAATTAACGCGAGACAGAAACGAAGCTCCGCGCATTATTAATGATTATACGAGGGTCTGCCACATATGCATGTTCGATGCATCGACATGTGTATTTTCGTCTCTTTGAATCGCTTTATAGACTTAGAAAACGATCCGCGTTCTGAGAACATACATCTCTACATGTGTACCTGTAGCAATGAATCGACCAATAATGATGAAACTGAAATTAATTAGTTGAATAAAAAACACGTTATATTCTATCTGCGATATATAAAACAATAAAAATCGTCTCGCAGATCTCTTGAAGGATTTTTCACTCAGAATATGCGTATCTGACGATTTGTACAACAAAAAGCGCAAACGATTCGTTTTCAAAAAATCGTTATTATTGCAAAAAAACTAAATGAATTTCAATCTCGCTCGTTTCACGCAATTGAACTGAGAGATGAAACACCATCTCAGACATCATCGCCGACAATTCGCTAATCTCTTTTACCTCCTCCTTCTTTGTTCATTCGATAAGTACACTTGCCAATGAAGAGAAGAAAAGAGGAGATTTGTAAATAATAATTTTGTAAAGGGGATTTGAAATGTGTTATAGATACATGTGGATACGCACAGAGAACGAGATTTCTTTTAAGGCTCTTAGTTTATTCATATGTCTAATCGAGATAAGGAGGAATGCAAGAGAAGCAAAATGTGTATTGTTCACTAAAGAAAGGACAGGAAAAGAGAAAAAAAATCGAAATATTGAGAGACAGATTGTGTTGTGAGTTGTGGAAAGATTCTGTTTATCTCTCAAAAATAACATTTTTGTTTTTTTTTCATACGCAAAGTTTTTATCTTTTTTCTTCTGGAATGTGCGTCAGAAGTGTTGAAACGTTTAAATCGATAGATATTTTTCGCGATATAAATGTGTGAAGATACGTTTTATATAGATTTCACAAGCAAATTCATCTTTATAGCGTATTTCACGTTTCGCGGTACTCAATCTTGTTTCTCGTTTCTTTTGCAATGTGAAGAGCATTGTAGCTTAAAGAAGAAAAGTCGATACGCCTCGATACAGCTTCAAACGGGGGGATGGAGAAGCGCTCGTCGGATCTCCCCGAAGTAATAGTGTGAAAGTTCCGACATCGTTAATCTTGCTTCGTACATAGACGTATGTACGTGTCGGATACAAGTGTACTACACCTCGTTGTTTCGCTTATATCATGAGAGCCGCACCCTTTTCATCCCCACACCCACTTGGTGGTTATAATTCATTTAAACCGTTTTCACTCCTCTAGAGCATGACTACTCGGAAGTGCATTAATTATTCAAATGTTAGGTACATGTAAATCGGATTTTCTGAAAAAGTTAATGTTTATTTTTTTAAGATATTTATTGCGCAACAGTACCATCGAAAATGTGTCTCTTTCAACATGTACATACGACACGTGGAAAAGCGTTACTTGTAATTATCTCAGCTTTGAAGCACACACACACAGTCAAATATCTAGAAATTCCACGCTTATTAAAATCTTTCGGTTAATAAGTTCGAATTTTGTGAAAAGTTTATGAATCGATTCTATAATATGTAATAACTACCTTCCACGTGGAAAATAAAAGTAAAAAAGAATTGAAGCTAAATAAACTTACAGAAATATACAATCACAATAAGAAAACTAAAATTTTTTCCAATAATTTATAACAATTCTTTAATTTATTGCTTATATATATATATATCACGTTGTATATACGTATTATTTTAATATGTGATATATCCACGTGGTGGTAACTTTCTAGAAGAGAAGTTGCGGGAAACAGACGATATACCTATATGTATATATTTTTGTCGATCCAATTTCTCAATGGTTACGTTCAGAAACAGTTGCACAACGGTTGAGAGATAATCATTTATGATTGGATCATACTTGTGGAATCGTAGCAGGTTTTGAGAAATAGTCCTATCACAAGTGATGATCTTTGAACTGTTGTGCAACTGTTGAGTTTTCTGAACGTAACCTAACCTAACCTAACCTAACCTAACCCTAACCTAAGATTGAACCAAATATAGAAAGCAGTCACGACCGCATTTTAGCAGTTACCGCTTTTGCCGCTCTGCCGCTAGCACCATGCTCACGTGATAGAGCACATTGGCAACTACGTGGTCATATCTACGAGCGGTGTGCACGCACGTTTATGGTTCTATTCCGTGCTGTATATAGCGTACGCACCAATAAACTGCTCGCGAACATTGGCGAATATACGCGAGTATAAGTTTGTCATTTTATGTTCATATTAGTTTATGTTTTACGCTCGAAGGGATTTATTTTATAAAATAGACTTTATAACATTTCGCGAAAGAATTCATAGAAGAATTGTTCAAAAAAAACACAAAAGTCAAAATATTTAAAGAATGTTAAAGAAATTTAAGAAAATTAAACACAAGTCTAAGCAATAGAAAAATGTAAAACTTCAAATAACACAACGCATAGAAATATTCAAAATATATATCAAAATTAATAAACGGATACTACGCATGCAATGTAGAAATTGTTCCTTTCAGATATATTTAATATAAATATGTATACCTTTGTATAAATTGCATATATTAAGTCTAGTTTGTACATAGATTTAGTATTGCGTATATATATTAAATATAGTATCTGTATATAGATTTAATATCAAGTTAAAGTCTACCAATACAATATAAAAACAGATTTAAAAGTATAAAAACAGATTTTTAAAAAACTGTTAGCTGAAAGGAACAAGCGATAAAAGTTGACTGTGTAACTCACATTTGTGTGGTCCCTTCGTTGTCCGTCCCATTGTTGTCCGTCAATGTCCAGTCTCTTCCTCTCCAACCCTCGGTCCTCTCCGACTCAACGAAAGTGACCCAACAGCAGACTTTGCATCGTCCCACGTAGTGTCTCGTAGCACTTTTCATCGTCACTTCTCATCTCCACTTCTTTATTACCTGTTTACTTCTGCCTGAGCTTATAAATTGAAAAAGAAAAAGATAAATACACTGCAATGTAGATATAAATATATAATTTTTTTACAAATAATTTCACACACATGTTATTTAATATTATTTTATATTACTAGATAAAAATCTGAGATGTATTTACTTGAATTGCACTCCTGCTCTGGTAGATCACTCAATTTGCTCGGCGAACGGCCGCGATACGGATTGATCATGATGCTCGCCGATTATTCGCGATACGTATTAATACGCATCAATACGTACACTCGTTACTTTGCGACACTCCCGAACTATTGATATTCGCGCGCGAGATAATAACAAACGCGAGAGAAAAATAACGCGAGAAAATTCGAATCTTCTACTTCTCGTGTCGCGCGTTGGCCATCGTATGTCTCGCGGGAGCGCGAATAACCGCGTGTAAACACTTACATTGTTAAACTCGCTTGTTATCGTTACCGAAGAGTGCGCGATATTAATTATGTATTACGTCACACGCCCGACAATTTGCGGCACATATGTATTGCCGATATTTACGCGCGAGACGGCAATAAGTGTCAAAAATACCTCGTAATTTGAAGGAGAAGTTCCGTTCCGTGTCCGCTACATCTGCCTGTCGAATATATCGAAGCGCGCGAAGTTGCGATTCTCGAAATATCGAACCGCGCGCCGCGGCGCGCGTAATTCAAACGTAAGCAGCAGCAAAAAAAAGCGATAGAAATGCATATATGTAATACTCCTATATTGCTAGTCGCGTATCTTCGCAATGAGAGGCACGAGGCCCGAGAAAGGGAGACGCACGAAGTCCAAATATGGGCATAGATAGTCGAGCGTCATTATGCGCAGGCGCGTCTACTAAGCGAGTGCGAGCGAGACAAAGCATTAGAAAGTGAGAGAAAGAACGCGAGAAAGAGAAATGCGCAAGCGTGCTTGAATGTTCACTGCATGCGCACAAAGCAGCTGGAGAGAGAGGCTACTATATTGTCTGCACCGTAACATGTGGCTTCAGGTCGGCACCGTACTAGCAATATAGGAGTATTACATATATGTAGAAATGTGAATTATCACAAATTAGCGGATAAAATAATACCAGACAGAAGATTAAGAGCAGTCACGGCCGCGTTTTAGCTGTTATCGCTTTTCCATCCTGTTCGCTATGTCTAACGGTGGTGCACATACAGCACGAAATAAAACCATACACACCGACCAATCACTCATGAACATGGCTACGTAGTTGTCAATGTGCACCACCGCTGTGAACATAGCGCTAGCGAACAGATCTTTTCTCTGCTGATATCCCTGATGAAATACACGCACGTCAGAATTTGTTCAAACGCATGCGCGCAAAAATGTCTGTTGAATCCTTTTTATATTTCAGCGTTTTAATTTTGTCATCCTGATTAAAACTGATAAATGTTACGTTAAAAATTATCGCGCGACACTGTCGCAATTAATGCATTCGTTCTCTCGACAACACTATGGCGAGTCACCGTCAATGAACAACGCGGTGCAAAACACCGAGTGGCGTTGCAAACAGAAACAAGACATGTCTTCGTATTCGAGTGAGTTGTCACAGTCCCAGGAATACTTGAGTTTTCGCAGTTCCGTACCGCTGCGAAAAATCGTCGTTGACACCAACGGTACCAAGGTAATTTTCCATGTCTTTAGTTTCCGAACAGTTGATGTCCTGTTGTTTACTATCTGTCTTCTCCCTATCATCACTTTTTATGTGTAAAGGCAAAGTGACTTTGTGTTTTTAAATTTATTCATAAGAGTATATATTATAATTTGTAATATAATCTTAGTCTGAATATATCTATGATTTATTTATTTCAGGGTTGGAAAGTGTACGATTCCAATCCAAAGAGTGTCAAATGTCCTCTGATATGTCTTCCACCAGTCTGCGGCACTGCCGATATTTTTTTTAGACAGATATTAGGTCTGGCAGCCAAAGGTTATAGAGTTATATCAGTGAGTTGAATGTGTGTATCAGGTATAACAATCCTGAAGCACTTAAATGCAATATAAAGTTGCACAAAAGAGTTGTCCCACATTTGTGCAATCATAAACAACGAGTTTGTCTATAGGCTGAGCCACCAGTATACTGGAATATAAAGGAATGGTGTGATGGATTCAGAAAACTGTTGGACTATTTGGAACTGGACAAGGTTCATCTTTTCGGTGCTTCCTTAGGTTGAAAAATACTCAAGTCTTTAGGAATAATGTACAATTTTATATACAAATTATTAAGAAATTTTATATTTCTAGGTGGTTTCTTGGCACAGAAATTTACAGAACTAAATGCTCATTGTCCCAGGGTAGTATCTCTTGTTCTGTGTAACACCTTCACAGATACATCTGTATTTAAGTACAATGACTCGGCAACAGTGTAAGCCAGCTGTTTTGCTATAAAATAACCAGTTTTTGTTTCGTACATTTGTATTCAATCGAATCTTTACATATGTTTGTAGGTTTTGGATTTTGCCTTCAGTAGTGCTGAAGAAAATGATAATGGGGAATTTCGCAGCAGAAAAAGTTGACGGAGAGATTGTAGAGGCAATTGATTTCATGGTAGAGCGAGTATGTCGATCTTAATTTATTTTCCAGTGTGAAATTGATAAAATAACAACAAATAGAATCTTGCAATTATCGTTTTTTAGCTGGAAAGTTTAACGCAACCGGAACTGGCATCCCGTTTAACGATGAATTGTATGAACTGTTATGTACAACCTCAAAAAATATGTCACTTACCTGTAACGATAATAGATGTTTTTGATGAATACGCTTTATCAAATGCAGTCAGAGAAGAAGTATACAAATGTTATCCTCATGCCAAACTTGCTCATTTAAAAAGTGGTGGAAATTTTCCGTATTTAAGTCGATCCGCCGAAGTTAATTTACATTTGCAGGTAAATTTGTGACAAGTAATTTGTGAAATTATCAGAGATACGCAGAACATCAAAACACCTCTTTTCAGATTCATCTGAGACAGTTTGAAGATACAGAATATGCAGCTTCGGAGAGAACAAAGACTTAGCGAAATCTATTCATCATCATCATCATGTTAGGAAAAAACGTATATTAATTAATCAAACAAAAATGGCCTCTGATTGAGTATTCATATGCAGATATCAAGACTATTTGATTTTGTGTTAAGACGTTTAGTCATAGAGATATAGGAGATAGAGTGGAGCGGACTGAAAAAGCGATAAAGGCTTAGAAAGATGCATAATTTTACGTTTAGTACAAATAACTGTTTTCTTTATAAATAGAACGTTAAATAAATTGATTATAATATTTTTTACTAAAGTAATAATAAAGATAAGTGAAAGAGTGAAGAAAAAAAATTCTACTACCATTGATGTTATTGCGCATGCGTTATTAGACAAGGACAGAGAGGGCCCATATGCATCTTTCTCTTTTTAAACCTTTATCGCATTCACTTACGCGCTAGCATAAGACTCGCGCACTCTAGTCTTATATCTCTATGCATTTAGTCAAATTGAACATATGATTCAGTTGATCTCATATCTCTCGGTGAAACGCATTATGTATATGTACGTGTGTACGTATATATATATATTATACAATATAACAATATGAAGACATCACGCAATATCCCAACTATACATAATATTTTCATATATAATTCTGTATGTTGTATATAATAGTATATATGTATTATATATATATTATATATACATTGTTATTCCATTTTTTATAAAAACGTGTTCAGTTCCTTTTAAATATATATGAAATACTTATATTTTACAATATTTTAATTTTAATTTTTATGAATACTTGACACTATTTTTAATAAAGCAAGTTACCTAAAAAAATCATTACGCGCATGTACATATATTTTCTACAATGTTTGCACACTTTCTTTTTTTCTTCCTTTCTCTCTCTGATTTTTTTCTCCCAAAAATTCATTTTCTCTTATCGAATAATTTTACGAGTGCAATTATGATATGCGCTGAAAGTAGCAAAGAGCGCTTGGCCATGCTTTGCCAAGTCGTCTGACCGGGAGACCGTATAAGAACTTGCTTGATATTGATTGTGTGTGTTCTCTCGCGTTTCTCTTTCGCAGGCTCAGATTACGGGGCCTGTTTTACTCAGTATATACCTACACAGCACGTCGTTTGTGTGTGCTGATTGAAAATTTTGTTTTTCTCCCATAATCTCCGATGTTTTTCTCTCTGTTATATATTATTCCCGACTATATAATATTACAATATAAGTTCTCATTATATATAGTACAAGATTTTTTTTTTCGATAGAATAAATTTATATTAAAAAAATATAAAAATATATTAATATTTTGAAAGAAAACTAAAATTTTATCAAAATTTAATTATTTACATCAAGAGAGAGAAAGAATGAAATAATCTTTACACACACATAATACATAAAATAAATATTTATCATCCTATACTTTGTGTACAAAGTATGATAACAAAAAGTGAGAACTTGCGTCAATTAAGAAAATTAATGAATGTTGCGATTTGCACAACGCTCAGGTAGGTAGGTATTTATGTCGATAAGATTGCGATTATCAGTGATTGCTACTTCTTGTGTCGCGTACTTATAAACTCTGATGATTTCGCACATATTGGCGTTGCGAAGAACGCGGCTAAACTACAATACGCGTGTTTCAGGGCTCAGTCCCTCACCTGCACGCAACGCAGACAGTGGCATGTGGCAGTGTAGCATCAATTTTACAGCGTTACTTTTATGACACGTATAAAACGTGTTGACATTATATTTAGATAGATAGGTCACGTTGATTTGTACAATGCAAATCGTTGCGATGTACATGGCATTTTTGTGTTCAGCTATGAGGTAAAAAGTGTGTGAAAGAAAATCTGTAACAGTGTTTTTATACAAGTTTTATTTTTTATATATTGTCTTTTAGAGTTAAAAAAAAGAGGTAAATATACATATCGCGTGTGTGATTGATCATTATAAAAGTTTAAATCATTGTGTTTTATTTTTTGAATATTTGTTAATTTAAAGTTGTTATTATTTTTTTCTCCCTTTTCTGTATTTTTTATATCATCTTTTACATTATTTTTCTTCTTCTTTATTTTTTTCTATGTTTTTTTTATTTAGTCTTCGCAAGTTATACAGTTATCGTACTTACAACATGTTGATATTATAGTATGTTGAGATATTATAGTTGTACGATTTGTACTAATCCTCTTGTTTGTCTGATATATGTTTTGATAACGTGCGGCTTTTATAGAACATATTATGGGATTACGTAACTATATATATTGTAGCAAGAACTTCCAAAAAGGAAATAGCTCGCAGCACAATTCAATCAAGTGAAAGGAGTACCAATTATGTCGACTTGGTCTTAAAAAGAAATAGCGTAAACATTTACTTTTATCACAATAGATTACAGAAATTATGCAATTTAATCATTTAAACAATAAACATCCGTGAAAAATATATATGTGACGTACTTTTCTTCGGGAAATTCGATCAACACTTTTTTCTAAAACAATTTTTTGTAACAATCTCGTTTTTCTCGCAGGTGTCGTAAAAAGACGAGAAATTTTCGAGAGAACAATACCATAATGAATTCAACGGACTCGTAAACGTTTAATTTTTTGCTCTTCCGGTCTATTCTTGGAAACAGTGCAGAATTGAAAACATGAACAGCGCCGAGCGAACACCTCTCTTGGATGCGGGAAGGTTGACAATATCTACAAAACTCGCTTACGCTCTCGGACATGTTTTCAACGATCTGGCGGCCGCAATGTGGTTTTCTTACACTCTGATTTACCTTCAACGAGTGGCATTATTGAAACCTATCGCCGCGGGTGCACTTCTACTTCTAGGTAGATTAATTATTGTTCTCGCACTCTCAAAAAGACGACGCTTTATAATCAATATATGATTTAAATGATTTAATGTATGTTATAAATATATGATTTAATGTTGAAACGTTGTTTCGTTCAAGGTCAGATCATCGACGCGATTATGACACCTGTGTTCGGCTTTCTCGTCGATCGATATTGTAAGAAGAAGATCTGGCACGTCGTCGGTTCCGTCATGGTCACGCTGAGCTTTCCCGTGATATTCGGCGGTTTCGCCAGTTCGTCCCCCACAATTGCCATGCTTGTCTACGTAACGAGCATCACGATATTTCAGACGGGTTGGGCGGCCGTCCAGATCTCTCATCTATCAATGATTCCCTCGTTAACCAATTCACTTCTGGCCCGAGCCGATCTGACCGCGATAAGGTACACGAATCATTATGTAACGTCCTTTGAGAACGTGGGAATCGTTATGTAGCAGAGACATATTTTATTCGTTGAGTTGCTTCATGATAAATCTAATCACACACAGATACTCCGCACAAGTCAGCGCGGCTGTGGTAGTTTTTGTGGTCACGTGGATAGTATTACCGACCAGTGGAGAATCAATGGTCCAGTTAGATCAGCAAGACGACTACAAATTCAGAGTACGTAAGAAAAAGAAGAAGAAGAAATGCGCTGTATAGAAATGAATTTTAATTTGATTTTAATTTAATGCCAATGTGAAAATAAAAAAAAAAATAATTCAAAGATTCTTCTGATTTGCAGAACATCGTCGTGATCCTTACGAGTTTCGGTTTAACCGCGACCGTGTTCTTCCACATGTTTTTGAAGGCGAATCTTCTGGAACAAAATTCATTCCCGAAGAACGCAAACGTGGAAGAAGCGAGCAGCGGCATATCGGACAACTCGTCGAATCGCCGAATGTCATGGGTCGCCATTACAATTCTATTGAGAGTCGCGATGCTGTACGTGGCAAGCAGATTGTTTATCATTCTTGCTACGGTCTATTTGCCTTTGTACATAGAAGAGACTAAAGTTGGAGGCAAACAGGCGCTGGCTACCGTGCCCTTGGTCTTGTACGTGTCTTCGTTCGCGGCCGCATTGCTGCTCAAATACATCAACAGAACGTGCGGCACGAAGGTGATTGATAATAACGACAATTGGAAACATACACAGAGAGAGATCGCGAAGAGTGAATAATAATATTATTCTCGCGTAACGATTTTGTAAATCGCAGGTTTGCTATTTTCTCGGTGCCGTAATTGGCATAATGGCCGCGGTGGTGACGGAATTTGTTAAAAGCAGCACCGCAGTGATTTACGTTGTCGCTGTGTTAGTTGGCACGGGAAGCTCCATTACAATGGTCACCGCGCTCAGTGTCACCGCCGAATTAATTGGCTCGAGGACGGAACGCAGTGCGCTCGTGTACTCCGCCGTAACTTTCCTCGACAAAATCATCACAGGTCTGGTGGTGATACTCATTGAAAAATGGTTAGTGATTAATACCGACACGTACACGCAAGCGTGTAATGTACACTGATATATTTTTTCGATCATAAATTATATTATACATTAAAATTAAAAGATCGTGAAGTTCGATCTGAACGATTTTCCGAATGCTTGCGACTTACAATTCACACGATTATTCTCTTGTTTTCTATTATTTATTTTATTCTTTTTTTTTTAGGAGGTGCAACGACAGCGAGCTCTGTCCCACTTACAATCGCGACACATTGTCCGTCGTGTGCGTCTCGTCGATGATTCTGGGACTTCTGACGCTACTGTCTGTGTCGCGTTGCCTAACTTGAATTAACGGTGATGACATATTTGTCATTTTTGTAAACACACGAACATTATTTTTACAAAGCAATAACAAATGACTTTATATATTTATACAAATTATCTCGTTGTTATATGAGTTATTTCATCTTTCTGTCATCTCGCAACGAATCTGATTCTATTTCTCTACCAGATATCTCCTCCTCCTATCTCTCATTAAAAAATCCATGTCTACCGTAAAGTGCGCGTTTTTGAGTCAAATGCACAGATCTGTGAGTCGAATGTATCGCATCTATTGTTATCTCCTTTTCGCGTTGCCGATTGGTTGGTTGATCGAGTCGAGTCGAGTCAAATCGAATCGGTAAGATCGAGAGAGTAAATAATGACAGAAAAGCGATTTTGACAGTTCGTCGTATATATGGAGAAAACTAAAAACGTGACTAAAGTAAAGTCACGTGACAAAAAAGAGAGTAGAAAAACAACACGTGACTAAAGTAACGTGACTGTAATGTTTATATTATATATAACATTAAATAATATATATTATATATAAATATAGAATATTATATATAATATATACTTTTTTTTACTCTTTTCCCTGTCACGTGACTTTAGTCACGTGTTGTTTTTCGACTTTTCTCTCATTATTTTTTGATTTTGATTTTCATGCGTTATTTCTGACATTCTCTAATGTGTATATGGTTTGGAAAATACTATATACTAGCTGTCATAGCGGTGACAGATTGTGTTTACTGGCACGACACGTTAAAATAAAAACAATAACAACGTGTGCGTAGCGCGCGCCTGTGATGTGCTAGTATGTTAAAATACACGTATTTTGATATCTGTTCTTCTCTTGTTTGTTTTGCGCTCGACCGATCGATTCGGATCGATCATGTAACGGCGGTCGAGAGTTGGATCGACTGCTCGCGCGCGCGTAGCTTCGAAACGGTTGCGCGAGATGGCGCCAAATGGCCAGCTTGGTAGCGAGAGAGAGATTTGATTTCATAGAAAAGACGCGCACCCCAATCTGCACTATATGTACTGCCAGAGTACGATGACCCGTTTGTTCGCGCGTTACGTCCCGGCTCGTCGCGATTGCGTCGTAGTATGTACGTCAAGGCAGACGTGGTACTCTCTTTATCGCTCCTGCAAAGCGGCCCGAAAATAGGAGAAAGCGAGAGCGTGCATGGGGGCGGCGAGCCACTGCGCAGACGCTTGTTTTGCTCCGGTCGACGAGTACTGCCGACGGCGGAGAGAGACGGGGAGAGAGGGGAGTGGGACGCACGCTTGCGGGGCATGGCGTGGTCCGTGTTCTAGTAAACAAGTTGTGTGCGAGTCGCGCGGGGAATCCGCTCCCCAACGAGAGCAATCGCCGATATTTATTTAACGACACGGTACGTTTACTGTCGCGCGCGCTCACGACGCGTCGTTGTCGTCGTCATCGTCATCGTCGTCGTCGTCGTCGTCGTCGTCAGTGTCAGTGTTTGTTGCCGGCATCGAGAAGTATGCGCACCCGTCTCGTTCCACTGGAGCAACGGTTAAGCGATAAATAAAAGGATTAACACCGACATCGGTCGCTTGACCGTAGCCGTTTGTTTCCCTGTGTGTTATGCGTACGTGTGTTCGCGGGTGTGAGTGTTGCTCGTGTTTGCGAAGAAAAGTTATCGCAGTGCTCGCCGCCGGTTCAAACGAGAAGGTGATTTTTGATCGTCAACGAGAACGAGACGAGAAAGAGGTGAAGGCGCCCGTGAGAACCGATGCGAGGTGATGGTACATCCGAGAGACGTCTTGAATATCGCAACCGGACATCACGTTTCGGTGAGTGTATATTTCTCTGTATACGTATCCTCCACACTTTCTCCCTCGCGGCGTCTTTCATTTTTTTTTTCTCTTTCTTACTGCACACGCGCGCGCGGCTCACGCGTCTCTCCTATTTTATCTAATGCGATCTCTCGCCGAGAGCCTGTTATCGCGGAAGGTAATTCGTGGAGCACACACGCGTGACGATATCGAAAAAGGGGGGAAGAAAGAGAGAGAGAGAGAGAGAGAGAGATTTTGAGAAAAAGGCGGCTTTTGATCGACCACCCTCGTGGTCGAAATGTTCTTTTCTCTTTCTCCTTTCGTCGGTTTTCTATCCTACTCTCAAGGTATATGCTCCGAAATCGCGTCCTCGATCGAGGTGGATCGAAGCGTCCGAAAGAGAGAGAGAGGAAGGGAGAGAGTTTATAGAGAGAAGAGAGGTGCGCGCGAATAACACGCGAAATTTGTTTCGGCGCGTCGCTTCTCTCCTGGGCGTTGCTCTCTCACGACCCGCTCGTGTTGTGAAAAATCGTCGCTTTCCGCGAAACAACGCGTGCTTTCACTCGGTGTTTGCGCGGCAGATATTAATGCCTGCGAGGCTATCGTGCAAATCACTCGCTTGCGAGGAGGAGGGGAAAGAGAGAAGACGAGAGGAGAGAGGAGGGAAGGCGCAGAGCGAAAAGAGGAGAAGCGAGCAACGACGCTGCACTGCATTTCCACATGAAAGACTCGCGAGAGGCGGATTGTTGCTTTTTCCCGAGACACTGTGTGTTGACTGGAAAAGAAGCATCCTCGTTTAATCGCAACTTTCTCGAATATATCGAAATGACACGGCGATGTTTTCTTTTCGCTCGTGTGTCGGCGCGTCGCATCAATAGAGAGAATGAGAATACGCAAAGAGAGAGAGAGAGAGGAGAGGAGAGGAGAGGAGAGGAGAGGAAGATAGCGGCGGCATAACGCGATGATTATATCGCGTCCCGCGATATTTCTCTCCTCAGTGACCTCGCGGTCGCTCGGCTAACCTCTTTCTTCGCCGCGCCACGCTGCGCCGTGCCGTCGTCGCGCCGAGAAGAGCAAACATCGTCGCTGCAGCGACGAACGTCACTCCCGAACCTCGGGAGAGGGCCGTGCGGATCGTTTGTGTAGATTCGTCTCGGTTCGCCTCGTCTTTGCTCGTCTTCCTCGATTTTCAGTTTTCGCGTCAAAGCGTTTCTCTCACTTCAAAGACAAATCTTTGCGTTTTCTTACATCATTGTTATAAATATGTACATACTTTCCCCCGCCTGACTGTGTATCCAGCTTGGCTTGATTTGTCGCATCCTTTTTATTTTCCTCGACTTGTTTGTCCTACGAAGGACAAGCGTCGTAGGACAAACCTGTTTTACTTTTATATCTTTTGCAGCGTTTCTTGCGATTGAAATTGCTCCTCTGGAAGATATTGGTTCGTCAATGATCGCAGTTTAATTGCGTACTCGACGTACGAATAACGCGATTTTCAATTTTTTTTTTTTTTTTTTTTTTTTTTNTTTTTTTTTTTTTTTTTTTTTTTTTTAAGATGAATTTTTATATCAACATCGAGATTTGATGTTGCTTCAAATCGCGCGTGTGTACGGTATTTTTCGTCGAAACGCGAAAAAAAAAAGGTACAAGAGAACGCGTTTTATAGAGAAATTGTTTCTTCTCGTGTCTCGCAAACACGATGATCGTCCGAAAGTGGATATCATTTCTCCTCGCGATTATTTTCGAGCGGTAAGACGACAGTAAGGTATCGATTGGACGTAGTCGTTGACTCTCGATCATAAACCATTTGATTGATAACAATAATAACATACACGTTTGCCGCTTTTTATTGACTTTTGATTAAGAACCAAGACGACTATGTACATACACACGCACAATTGACAAGAAACAAACATATCATTTACTCAAGATAATTTTACATTTATTGAATAAATTTTCAACGAGAATCCTAATAGAAGAAATAGCGCGCACGCAAAATCGAGTTTTTTGATTGACGAGTGAAAATCCGACGGGAGATCAATTTGTTTTTATTAGAGATTTTTTTTTTTAGTTTAGAGCTTTAGATGTTCGGAGCGTAGTAAAAATATTTTGTTTTTGCGCTTTTCCGGACAGCGCGCAAAAGACGTCGTAAAGATATCTAAAAGATAGCTAAAATAATTCAGCTGTCTTTGAGATATCTTTCGAATTTTTGTATCTGTCTCCGCGTGTTGTTTCCTCCGCGTACAGTGTTATTAAAACGCTGGCGAAAAAATAACATGGAACCGAGAGAAACGGTGACGTTTACGACATCATAGACGTCGGGACAAAAGTGGTCGCCCGGTGGTGCGCCTTTAACCGAAGCAAAATAACGAAGAACGGTCGTCCAGCCTTGAATATATTTGCAAAAATATATTGAATTGACGGCTGACATTAACGACAGGTAATAACAGTGCGGAACATTGCGTAACTCTTATTCGCTTTTTAGTATTATACCTATGATCGTGAACGCGGCGGCGCGTTTATCCTCGGCGGCATCGTCACAAATCACGCAAAGATGTTCGTTTTTTTTTTTTTTTTTTTCGAAACTGTCAGCTTCGTTCCTCGAACGGAGGAAACAAATGCGTTGATTATCGCTTCACGCGCGCCACTTCCGAAAATTTATATCTGTGAAGTTTGTCGACACATCTCACGATATAATGCTATCGTTTATTAGTTTCATTAGAATAACAATTATACGTGGAGAAAATGGTCTCGCGTGTTTGTTAATCATTTGTAACACACGCGCACACACGAAAATGAAGTTGCCGCCGTTGTCGGTCGGAGAAACTATTTTCGACCTGCGGTGGAAAAATATTTTTCGATCGCGGTTATGAGCAACGCGCTAATTCGTAGAAATGACGGTGACGCTTGGCAGTCCCCGCGTCGCGTAGTATTGTAATTGGATAGCTTGTTCGCTCCCCGAACGTGAGTACTACGCCAACGATGGCACGGAATGTCACCGTTGTTGCGCTATTAACGCGTACCAAGGGCACATGCGTCCAACAGAACGATTGCTCGTTTCGGTCATTGTTGAGTCGAGGGGGAAAACCCCGGGACACGCATACGCGAAATGTTTGCGTCAACATTCGCCGCGGCTAGATCGGCGGAAAAAATTGACCGATCGGACATTTCCTTATTTTCCGCACGTTCACCGCGGATGTCGACACGTTGTGTCGATAAACAAGGTTGTCTAGCGCAGATCGGATACCAAGCGGCGCGCGCTCTCTTCTCGCAAATAGTATCAAACGTGATCCGGCGGTGTAAACAACCTCGTAGTGTGTTATTAGATTTTCGAATTTAAAGCAAAAATTTATTTTAAAGTGACAAAAGTTCTTGATGTAATTGACGTGATAATTTTTTCCGACATTCCGTATCAACGATTTGATTCGACGATTGTATCCGAGAATTGCTGCGAGTTGTCGATGATTGTGGAAAGAGTGTGTCTTTATGTCACACAAACACGTACACACGCGCATTCTCCTCGACAACAAGTTATATCTGTTATACGCGCGGTGGTTTACGTTTTACGTCGCTGCGCTCTTCTTATTTTATTTTCTATAGAACATAAAGTTGTCGAGAAAGATGCAACTTGTTAGTAGCATCGTAAATAATCTCGTTTCTTCTCGCGTGTCCTTTTCAAAATGTTTATGCTTCGATTTTTCTCAGTTGAGATTAATGAAACAAAGCTATAAATTTATCATAAGATTTAAATTTATTCAGTTTACATATTCAATATATGTATATACATTTAGCTTGATAACTCGTTTAGAAATCGAGCTTTAACTCGTTTGCTAATTTGTTAATTGATCGGCTTTGTCGCAAGTATCTGCCAATTGTCATCCACATTGTTACGAGAAATTGCACAAACGAATTGCATCACTTTGTAATAAGTGTGTACATATTAGACGGGTTGACGGGAGCAATTAGCATCTTAATTAGTCGCATAGCGCACGAGACATTATTTTATTTAAACGCTCATTATCGTATTAATGTTAAAATTAACGCACAATTCTAAAACATAGAATATCTTAACTTTAAAAAGTAATTAAATTGTTCTCTCTCTCTCTCTCTCTTTTTCTCTCTAATTCAAAATTATTTGAAAAAGGAAATAAAATGCAAATAAATGTCATGCAAATGTATACATCGCGTGCGAATGAGGTCTTTCATCTGTGTTTTGTTTTTTTTAGTTTCCTCTAAGATCGTTTCCGTATTTTTGGAGTTACGATAGTTTCGTTTCGGTAACAACAATCCGTTCTCACGCAATAGGTTATCACGCGCTTATCGCTAACTAATCCTTGGTTAACTCGCATACAATTAACCCATTTTTGCGATTATCGAAAGGCCTTGGTATGCTCGTGAGTATAAATATAGCCTGCGTTTCAGATATTCACCGCGTCAGTACTGAAAATCTATAGTTCAAGTTGCATGTGCTATAAATTCGAAGTGAACCGGCGGTGAATAATACATGCGCATACATCGAAACGCAAGCGCGTAGAAGAAGGTGGAATGTAATACGCATAATAACGAGAGAACCAATCGAAACAATTGCCTGATTGAGTAGCGCGAAGTTTAAAACACAATACTTCCGTAACTATGGGATGTATATCGCAATGATTGCAAATATAATTTCAAATATTTTTACATCGACGTAAAATGTAAAATTAAATCAAAGAGAGATGAATAAGTTCGTTGGATTTTTGAACGTGTTTATACTCCCGATATAAAATTCGAATTGATTGCTATCGCGCTTATTCTCGACATGACGCATGTTCGTTTGAAAATTCCAAGCGGGGGATGAGAGGAGGCTGATTTTATCCGCTTGAGACAGTCTCTCTCGAAGGTGTTTTCCAAATACTAATCCGTCCGTGGTGCTAAATCAGCATTTTCACGCAAGAACAACTCCGTCCGCGCTCGCTTGCTCGTTCGATTCCTCGCTCGCTCGCTCGCTCGCATCTCTCGATCACCACGTTTTGCCTACATTCCGAACTATAACCGCATTCCGTGCCGTACACGTATATCGAGTGTTCCGAGAATTTACATGCCGCTCGATTGGAGAGAGAGACCGTTCGGTTTCGAGATCGCGCAACGCAAAAGACAAAAAAAAAAACCTTTCTTTTCTGATAACCAAAGTCATTAAATATGCAAACTGCGCAACAGCGCTGCGTACGCATTTTTCATACGTGCGTGTATGCGTACGCTGTGTGGCCGCACGTACCTTCCAGGAACTATATTTCATTCGAGCGCGCGTGTTGTCGCGCACCTCTTAGGGGAACGTGCGCAAAGGTCCCCTGAACTCGCCGCTCGCACATTGCGACGCGTTACGCCGAAAACGAAATCCAACACAGCTGTTGACAACCGTAGTGAGATTATCGCGCAACGTTGACGAATTCTTTTCTTCCTCTTAACATTTTCCTCTTCGCGTATCGCGTAACAAACGCAGGCGATTTTGTAGCGAAAACCATATTCAAAAACTTCTCTCTTCCTCTCTCTCTCTCTCACTCTCATTGTAGAAAAAGAGAGAAAGAATCTCGTTTATTATATTCTTCCCCCAAGACCTTCATAATTTTGCTCCTTAATTGCTTGTGCAATCTACCTTCGTTTCTTCTCGTTACTGTTATCTTCTCTCTCTCTCTCTCTCTCTCTTTTTTTGCTCTTGTCCTCCTTGTTCTTCGTTTTCTTCCATTATATCTGCTACTTGCTTATAAACTACATGATCGTGCGTTATCTTTAAGTATCCTTTGCGTACTCGAGTAGTTGTTAGTTAAGTGATTATCATAAGTGGTTGTATTTTCTCGTTAATAAACTAGCGTGTTATCGTTTCTCGAGCAGTCTATTTCCCGCGATGTTTTATTTTCCCGACTTCCGCGTTGAGATACATAAATGTTTGGATACTCCCGGTTGTTAAAACGATTGACGTGTAATTTACCAACGATCGATCGTTAATCGAGTGTCGAATTTTTGCGTCATCATTAATTTTATCTCAATACATCGGACCAACTATACGGCGATCCAACGTTAACACGGAACAGTTTTATATATATATATATACAATAAAACTCGCTTGCACGTTGAGCGCGGAAGTTGGCTAATTGAGAATTAAACAACCTGCGTGTTCAATAATTGCGTCGTAAATACAAGACGTTACCTCCCCCGGCGTTACTCTTATTATACAAGATATGTGTGTAGTTAATGAACGCGAGGGGTGTTGTGTTAGCCACGAAATTCTCCCTTTAATCGTCGCGCACAATAGGAACGGCGCCCACTCGGTTTCCGCGCTCACCGTTGGATGGCGGCTCCATGGTCCTGCATCACCGACTTCTCGAGATTACGTCATTCCCAGATGAAAATGCGTCGCAAAATTTGTCGGCGAACAGTTCGAAAGTTATGGTTTTATCTCCGTTTTTCAATTTTTTTTTCTTCGATGAGTCGGACTTTTTTATCTGCCACATGTCTATTTTATATATTGAAAAAAAAAAAACAAACGAAATGCGAACGCCAGTTATTACGTTGCAAAAAGTTTCATTATTTCGTCGCCGTAATAAAAATCTTGGCACTGGTCTTATTTCGAATCTTTTCTTCGTTTTATTTTTTTTTTCTTTTTTCTTATTCTTTAAATAATATCCGACTTCGTCTCGTTTAAGGGTGAATATAAAATATATGACAGAATTAGAGAGGAAGAGAGAGAGAGATAGAAGAGTCTCGTGAAAGGCTGTTGGGTAACGAACGATGAGTAGAGTAGTAGCGACGGCGACGACGACGACGACGACGACGGCAGCGGCGGCAACGGCGGCGGCAACGGCGGCGGCGGCGGCGGCGGCGGCGGCGGCGGGTGGGGTCCAACATCCTTTCCTTACTGCGCACTTTCTTTCCCCTCCGCGTTTCAACCCCTCGACGACGCCGCGCTAGCTACATGGACGCGGTGGTGGTTAGTAGTAGTTCGCTTCGTGGAAAAGGCGGCGCATGCCTCCCTGTTATCGTGCGCAAACTCTTCGCACTTGTTCTCTCGCTCGCTCGATTAGGCGCCTATTAGCGTATCCCCGCGTGCGTGTGCGTGCACGAAGAACGAGAAACGACGACGTCGTCGTCGTCGTCGTCGATGAACTACGCATACTACGTATAATGTACTACTACGCGTCGACGCATCGACGCGCGGTTAACGTCCGACCGACACGAGGCGGCAGTCATACTCCTCGCGGCCAGTTAAACAACGACGGATAGCGACCCTTCGGCGCGTACCTCGAGCACGACATGCGATAGCTCGTCGCTCGATGTAGGTATTAGATAAGATGACGCGTTTCTTTTCTCTCACTCTCTTTCTCACACATACACACACGCACGCGCGCGCGCACACACATACACACATACACATACACTCTCTCTTCAGTCACTACGCAGTTGCTTTGGCGCAAAAAGAGTCCTGTGACCGACGCGACGTTCTGTATTGCATCACGATAACATTTTGCGACCATAGTTCGTTGGTGCTCTTGAAAGCTAATAAAGTCTGTATGTAGTGCGTCTATGTGTGTTTTTCTCTCTAACATTGACACTATTATCATGCACACGCATATACGAAAGATTTAATCTTTCATGAAATAAACGAGTAAACGAATAATCGCATCTGATATCAAAGTAACAACAACAATAATAGCTTTTTGACGTCAACAATGATATCGCGCGTGCAAAGTTTATCGAGAATCGCGCAAAGTTTGACGATTACTTTGAGTTATCTCTTCGAAAAAAAGAAAAAGATCACGTCCCCACTCGATACACACGCCGCGAAATCCATATCGACTGTAACAAGTGTAACTCGGTTACGCCGCTTCGCACATCGTACAACAATGTCGCAATTCGCTTCTGTCTGTCTTTGAGGCGGAGAGATTTCAGTTATCGCGGCACACACAACCCATACGCAAAAGCGCATGTGTCCACGCTCGCGCGCGCGTGTGATAGATTCCGTAGAGAATACACACTTCGTGCGTCAGAATAGATCATCGGAACCTTGAACGACCGCAGAAACGTACACTCCGACTTAGAATAGACGCGTGGACGGCGAAATTGTGAGGAAAAACCCATTTGACATTGTCTTGAGCTTTACGTTAATTAATTTCAACTGAGAGAGTAGGAATACGCGTTCGCGGAGTTAAGTCGAGATAAACATGTACAGGAAAGAGCCGTAGATATTTATACTCGAAACGCATACCGGTTTCTTGAAAGATATCGCACACACGAGAATTTCAACATTTTGTAATTTTTCTTACACATTGTATATACGTGTGTGTGTGTGTGTGTGTGTGTGTGTGTGTGTGTGTGTGCGCGCGCGCGCGCGCGCGCGTGCGTGATTCTCTAAGTGAAACTGCGTCTGTATCATTTTTAATACCGACGTAATATTCGTGAAGATTTCAGTTCACTTTATCGGACTTAAGAACTACCCGCTATTTTTATTTTTTTATTTCTTTAAATATTTTTATTTTTATTTTTCATGAGAGACGTTGAAAGTCGGAGTGCGACTATAAATACGTTCCACTTAATGTATATCTCAATTTTGCGTTCCAGGGAACGTAATCGGAGTACGAGGTTTTGAGAGTATTTGTGTACGATTTTTTGCGCAACACACGAATAACTTCTTCGATTTTTTTATTTTTTTATTTTTTTTTTATCGTCTCAGCTAGTCAGATGGCATTTTGCGTGTCGCGCAATTCCATTTCGCGACGAGTTATCTCTTACATTCAGATTCGCGTTAGAAATTCCGCTTTCTAACGGCTTTCCGAAAGTCGGCAAAGTCAATCGACGACGTAATGTTGCGGATTTATACATTCGCGAAATGTTGCGTCGTTCCCCTTCGTTAGTTTTTCACACTTCTCAATAATTTGTGTCAATTCTGCGAGTGTTTTTTTTTTATCATATGAGCAGAAACCTAATCTGACAACATTCGGAAAAAAAGTTCTGATCACGTTTGGGGGAGTTCGATATCTCTCGTCTCTTTTAATAATATTTTTTTATCTACATCGCGATTATATAAATTATTAAAAAAGAAGCTTATATATCAAAAACTGATCATTCAAACGATACACGTCAGCCGAAAAAGTTATCTGACCCGCGCGATAAAATAACGCAAAACTATTCGGTGCGCATATGTCCCCGCGTTACGTCACGCAACATAATCGTCAACTGCCGACCAGTGCGAGTTTCCCAAAGTTCTGAGAGTTTTGACATTGTTTCGCTGTTCTTTCGCTTCCCCTTTGTATTGCGCATGTTAAAATGGCACGTTGCCACATGTAACAACGAGGTCCGACGACGTTACAAACCGCCGGAAGATCAGGGACAGACGGATCGATCGTCGCGATCGTATCGCGAGCTTCAATGTAGCACTCTCGCCGCCTACCTATCTACCTACCTACCTACCTGTTCTACTACCGGACATGGAGGACGCACGTGTCGCGGCGCGAAAAACATACCATTAAGCCCAACTCGTTTATCTACACATGAAAAACTTAGCGGTACTACCGGCTATTAAATCGGATGTGGGATTACTTTTTTATTGCGACGCAAATTGTTTGTCACTATCTACATTCTATCTTCATTCTACAATCGCGATCAAATGTCGCTAACATATTTCTCTAGATAACGCACACACGTGAATTGTTAAGAAGCTCATTAAAAGTTTATTGCCGAGCTTTTGTTTTTTACACAACATTGTCGGCTCTTCTTCGCATCAATGTCTTTCGTACGCCCAGGCATGTGACAATGTTTTGGCTTGCATCGATCCGTCTACCCTTATACGCGGCGTAGTATCACAACTTCCTTCTGCCTTCCCTCTACGTCTTTCCCCTTCCGTCTATATCTACCCATACATATATACTTCGCGAGATCTACCTACGCCCTGGTTCACTCAACTACCCTCGAACGGTGGCGGCAGCGATTCTCAGTTGCCAGGCGCGGATCGTTCGACTAGGAAAAAACGAGACGTCTCGCGGTATTTCACGATATTCGCGCGATTAAAAAAACAAAAAAAAAAAAAACAAAAAAAAATTCGCAATGTAATCTTGTCGAGAATTTTTATTCGAATGATCGTGGGTGTCCTACGTGAAAAAAAATGCAAATTACGCTCGAATAAAAAAATCACTTTACCAACGATATTGCGCGGATTATATGAATATGCTTTCGCGGCGCTGTCGGAGGTATAAATATATGTTCATGTATTTAGAATGCGATATATAACATTTCTGAGCACGCGCGTGCAGCAACATGTTTCATACATACGGATTTTATTACACCTGCGCGTACAAATAATAAATAAATATGCAAAAACCCTTAATTACGGTGAAATGTACGGTGAAACATGAAGAGAATTCCGATAAATTTGTTATGCTTCTGTGATGTTTTTGAAAAGCAATTTCGTGGAAAATATTGCAACCGCTTGTAAAATTCATGGATTCTGCTTGCAGTATAATTATTGAGCGAGTCAATTGTCGATATTATATACTTGATATACAGGAAATACACGTTACACTAATTACCACATTTAACTCCATTAATTTGATGGGATGCAGCAAAGCACTCTGGGAAAAAAAAAAAAAAAAACATTTGTGTCTCTTTTTATCGCATGTCGTATCTCTATTATATGTATATTGTGTGTGATACGATAATGATACCGCTTCAAATCCTGTTACAAAACTTAACGACTTGATCCTCTCGCTCTCTTTTCTCTCTCTCTCTCTCTCTCTCTCTCTCTCTCTCTCTCTCTCTCCTTTTCTCCCTATTCAACTTAACATATAGATTATTCATGATTAGCGGAACAGTTTACAATTGTGGAAGTTGAGGGAAAACTTTTTTTTCGCGAAGACTAACTTTCCAAGTGAAATTCTTCGAAAGCGTTGAAGACACGCGTCTGAAACGCGCGAACGGAAAAGCGTTACGATTACTTTCACACACAGCACCGCCGTACGTCAAGTATAATAATTTTATTTGGACAATGATAAAAGGTAGTCGTGTTTGTCGCTTCTCGCGAGTGACGTTATATCTTCGTCGGTTTTTATCGGCCGCGACACTACAGATAGAAGAATTCATTACGGTCATGCGATGTTTTTTAAAACATATTTTTTTATTTTACAGAATGCGATATCCTGATAGATATAAAAAATCAGTAATAATAAATAATATATACACCGAGAAAAATATATCTAATATCACATTGATATCACGGCGCGCACACAAATATAATTAAGTATCTTGATGAAAAATTTACGTACAATGTATATATAATTTCACGTATTAATTGCACATATTAATATGTGAATGATTGTTGCAATTTTTCCCGGTAACGCGCAGATAAATTTATCTTAATTTCTTTAATTTTTCGACGTCTGTTTTTTATGGCAAAAAGCATAAACAATCATTGTATTATATATTTAATTTATCAAAGCGACGTCAAAGAGAGACTGATAATATTTATTTATCCTTCGGTTTTAGATATTGTCCGCGTATTTTTAATGAATATCATCACGCGAGAGAGAAATAATTCTGATAAAGATAAAAAAAAAAAAAATGTAATTTGAAGAGAATGTAATAATGTTACTTTGTATCGTCCGAGTGTTTAATATTTCTTACAAAGAAATTCACGCAATTACGTTAATCAATGACAGCGGCATAAAAGAGAGAAATAATAATTGCTCAGAGAGAGATCAGAAGATGTCTTCTTTTTTTTCTCAATAAAGAGATTAATAAGAGATTTATTACAGTCATTACGAAAACACCGAGCAAAAGAAATCGAAAACGTCAAGCAGCTGGTAGTATTTCATTTTAGTTTTGATTATATGAAGAAAATATAATATATATGTTTGAGACGTAAATTTAGAGTTAGGATATAATTATTAACAGTCTGGAAACTTTAGAATATACAAACAGGAAACAGAGAACGAGACAAGA